CCATTTGTTACAGATTTCGAATGCCAGACGCTAACTGCCGTCAAAAATGGGAGACCATAAAAATATGTGACTACTTTTGGTAGTGACATAATGTTTCATCAAAACAGCAGTAAAAAATATGGTTTCATTTTTGCTCGATAACTGTTCCCTTCCAACCCTCAAAAGTCATTTGCAAATCTTCTGTCGCAAATTGTGGTGTTAAACAATGAAAGTAACACTTTATTTACCTCCGAAACCTTCAACACTTACAAAGTAGCTACTGATTGTCTATGGAAACAGACAGTTCTATTTTCATCTTTTTTATCTTATAAGAACAGCTGATCACTGCTTTTCGACCTTATATATACATGAAGTTATACAAGTATACGTCTTGGGAAATGAATATTACATTTGAATAACAGAACACCTCAAATGACAAAGTTGAGTAATTTCAAGTTGATTATATACAATGAATGTTATCAATAATGAGGATTCCTACTGAATGAGTACAGCTATTTCTGAATCATCAATCAATGTCACACTTTATCCCTATGACAGTTATCTAATGATCTAATGAAAGATATATGAAGAAATATACATTGCACATCCCATTTTGCTTGGCTAACAATGATATCACAAATCAGAATTATAGTTAAGTGAAAATGTGATAAGTAGTTCAATTAATTAATTCCTATTGAGATGACTAGTATATTTCAATTCTAATCATACATTCATAGCCTGCAGATGGACGATGCCAAACAATTTACAGAATTAGTTTCTTTTTGTCCTCATTTTATTGTCATTCATTTTATTTGACAATCGTGGCATTACATCATTGTAAAAGCTTGTTTTGGCTCGACATTACATCAATTTTTTCCTTATTTCTATTAAACAGTCTACATCATTAATAAAACAGAGTTGGTATTTGAAACACATGATTGAACTAATTTTCAATAGATGTTTCAATATCTGAAATACTTTCATAAAGTAAAGTGTTAGTTAATGATAACCATTCAACCATTGAAATATTTTCAACCATTGAGATATTTTCAATGTTTAATATTACAAGATTACCTCTAATACTGTTTACCCTTATAAAGAGTTTGATGTAGTAATCACATATAGGCTCTGGGATTGAGAGTAATGTCTGGTATATAACCATATCTAACTACTGTAGATACCTAGATATTTCTTCCATTTGACACACACGTAAAGAAGCATCTTGACTTATCAATACATTCCTACATTCATACACATTAAGATGGATGTAAAATGAATTTTATCACAAAGGAATAAGATTAATTGATATCCAAAGATACTGTAAAGTGCTGCAGAGTTATAACATCTGAATAATTCGAACATAAAATCTATAAAGCAAAGCCAATACAAGTTTTGCTCCTTTTCTCAAATATTGTCTAGCGATTTGATCCTGAGTTCAAACCCATATAGTAATGATTAACATAACTTAAAACAATACTCAACATCATAACTCTCGTATTTAGAGGCTTTGGATGCAGTAGTTATTTTAACCTTCAACTGGTTTCGATGTGTTTATACAACATTTTATTGATTTGGATTTAGTAATACAAATCTACTTTGCACTTGTGATAAGATTACTTGCTTAAAAAACAATGAATGATTAAATGAATGTAAGATGATATTGATAAACTCATTATGTTTGTTTCAAAGTAAACGCTGTTAAACACTGACTTAAACAGCAAATGCCTGGAGATTATAATTCTGACAAATGGACATAATTAAATAAAAAATTCTGACTTCATATCGTGTAATGCATTAGTAGAGATGGAAAAGTAACACATGCTGCAAAAAGTAATTTGGAGGCATGAAATTATACCCCCCCCCTCCCTCCAATGAACTTGTGCAGAAATAGACGTCCACGCTGCCATGACTATAAAGCAACAAAAAGCTAGTTATTACATTACAAACTAAACTAATTTGAATTGTACCTGCTATTAAAATGAATCCAATAGACAAATTCTAACAGATGTATAAATCCAAGTTCTTGATTATTATCCGTAGATTCAAGCTCAGTAGTGTTCAAGGTCTTAAACAACAGAATGCTAGAAAATTAGAAGTTTTATAAACTTCTCATGAGTTTCACTAATAACTTTCTTCTTGAGGCCATATTGATTCTTGGGTCATTCCAATTTGGCTCAATGAGGGGTGTGAGCTAGTTTCCAAGTCGAAGTAACGGAAAACAATTCCAAACATTTTTTGTGTAAGTTTGATTCCAACATCACTTTTAAAACTTACCAATTAAACAAAACATAAATATTCTGATTCCCGCACCACTTTTTGTATCAACATTTTTACATATATTAAAGCAGAACATTCTCCAGGTGAAATGCTACGATGTTTGCTCCAGATGCTTTATAAACAAATCCATATCTGCTTAAACATTTCATGTGATGCTCATTCAGCCCTCTTAATTCCCTTGCAAGTAATTTTCACCTGATATCGTCAATGAAACCTTCCACCCCTTTTATCTAGCAAATGCTGTCGCTTGGGATCACAAAGTAATATTGATTTTTGTGCAAAACTTTGCTGCAGTTAGCAATGTGGTATCTGGCAATTCTATCCCTGTTTCTTATATCATCGAAATGTTTTCCAAGAGTGAAACAAGTCCCGTTGATGAATATTTCATCTCCAGCCCCGGAGACCAATGAAAACAACATTATGTTGTACCCCTTAGATACATACTTACATTGTTTAATTACATTTCACTAGCATTCACCCCTGTACGTGTTTCTCTCAATAACAATACTAAAACATGGATGAGCAACACATAAAAACAAGGCATTAACATGCAAAATGTCACCACACCTGCCATTTGTTACAGACACCTACAACCAAACACCAATCGCTGGACACCTTCAAAAAAAGTTGGGAGACGATAACAATGTCACCACATGGTAGTGACATAATAAAGTTGGTTTATAAATTTTAGAATGACACAAAATGTTGTAATTTATGTTGAAGATCTGGAGGGCAAAAACAAGTGAACACCACAAAAATATGAACACTCCTTCTATCCTATACTCTGGATACATGTATTCCATTTACATATAATTATATTTAGTCTTAATGGGAATATCTATCAATGTGCACACTTAACTGATGTAGATGTGTCACAAAGTTTAACTCAATACTTACATGTATAGATGGATAGATTCACCATTTAGCAGGGTTAAGTATAATCTAACTCTTTTTCCAACTTGTTGACGTTAAGCTTAATAGAACTTTACAACAAGAGAATCGAATTACATTCTGTCATGAAAACAAAACTGAGCTCTAAGTTTAGTAATTACAAGAATAAATTCTTGCACTTCACAAAATAATCAATCCGAAAATCAAATAATTAAATTACCTCTGAAATACCTATTTTATATACTTGAATGTATTTTTATTATTGCATCTGATAAAACTTCTCAAAAATATTAAATACCGGTTATTTACATATTTTATTGAAACTCAATATAATGCAATAAAGTAAAACTGGATATGTTTCGATAATTCAATGAATTGGTTCTGCTTCCTATCCCAGACAAACACCTGATCCAAGTGACAAATTACAAAATTACAGTCAACATAATACCTGTTGCTATGGTTACCATTTTGTAGTGCACATATTAACTTTCAGCGCAGATCAACATGTAATATATTGGAGATGGCTTTTCCTTGGAGACAAAAACTTAAATATATATGAAATGTCATATATATTTAAGCAAAAATTAATATACTATATATACCAACATATCCATCTTCTCTCCATTTTAACTTTTTACAGTGCCATGATGAGACTTAAAAACTACAAAAAACTCACTGTAATAACAATCTCTCAATTAGTTTGACAAGGAGATGTACTCATATATAATTATTAATAACAAGACACAGAGGACTATAGAGTGATAAATAACATTCTTGAATAGCAAAATGGCTGACTTGTATACTTTACCTTCCCAACACTCGAAGATGAAGTATATAGGAGGGGGGGGGGGGTTACACAGTCTTGTTTGAGGTTGAGGAAAGACTATAGCCCAACATACTCAAATCCTACTCAGATCTTTTGCGCTATTTTTGCTTTTATATTCATAATAAAATTAACAGATGAATGGTTTTTTCAATTGGGGTATGGTGTATCACTGGCATAGCGTCATATACGCATAAAAGGCCATGGCATACTCTCATAGTTTAGAGAAAAGTTGATTTTATATAAATTGTTATTAGAAACGATAAAATCACGAATGCAAGTAAGTTTTATTTCCAAGTAGCACCTATTTTGCCATCCCATCATTCAAAAATGGGTTCATGTAATTAATATTGGATAAAAATGGACAATAATTTACATTTTATTAGTTCAAATAAGTCAGAATTTAGCATTTTAAAACGCCTTAGAACGCTTCAAATTAAATCTCATTTTCAAATTTTCTTGTGAGGGGAGAGGCCAAACCCCCTCAAAGCTTTGCTTACTCGTGGCATACACTCACTAAATACCCACCCTACGCCACTGGGTATTTCAATGACAAAATCTCCTATGGGCCTACCAACACTATCAGCACAAGAAGTTCACTTATAATACTTTTAAAGTTCAACAAAAACAAGACATTGGATATTATTTTCTAACTTGTCGTTGGTTGGATTGTTTCTAAATTAAATCCAACAACCAATTTATTAACAGAAAGAATTGCTATATCAACTCTACAAGTTGCAGGATTCGATTTGATAAAGGAGCTAATAAATCGTAATCACACAGCTGAATAAGAATCAGTAGAACTTTGATTCTCAAGAAAAGTACATTCAATAAAATAATCTTGAGACCCTTTTTGAGTTTTGTAAGTGAAATAAAAGTAAATCAATTCAGAAGTTGAAAATTAATTTGTTAATTATTTTATTTAAAAATCAGGATGAAATATGGATATATATATATTTTTAAGTATACAAATGGAAAATCCATCATCAGTATTCAGTGATAATTTGTGCAATAAAAAGTTTATACTCACCATCCATATCGACATCTTCAACAACATTCTCATCTGTTGCAGCACCTTTCTCATCGGGTTCAAGTTTCTTCTCACCAGCTGAGGTCTCAGAGGCATCACTGCAATCTTGATTCTCAATATGATCATCTTTATCAGGAGTTGTCACATTATCATCTATGCTGTCTCGTTTAGGATTTTCATTTTTGCTTTCTTCTTTTTTCTTCTTTGGAGAACTTTTACCCTTTGTTTTCTTTGGCGTCAATTTTACAGGTATTTCTTCGCTGTCATTATTACCACCACTAAGTTTACTAGGACTGCCTTTATTTTTCACAACATTCTGTTTTGTAGATTCACTCCCCTTGTTATTCTCTTGAGTAGAAGGGGAGGTATCTTCTTTTTTCTTGCTCCTGTTGTTCCTTGTTTGGTTCACAGGGCTTGGACTTGTATTCACTGCTTGTTCTTCATCTAATTTCTTCCTCATTGCGCGTGTTGTTGTTGGCACCGCTTTGCCTTTTGGGACAGAACCCTGAGATTCTTCAAATATTGGCTGAGGGATCTTTGATTTGGTGGTCGAAGCATTAGAATGAGTGTTGATCTTCTTTGGATCCTCCTTAGCTCTGTTCTTGACGGCTGCTGACTGAGGTTTAACATCATTGCCCGTTTTAGCTTTAACTTCAGCGACTGGTTTAACCTTAATATCGTTACCTGGTTTAGTCAGGCGAGAGACTTTTGATTGATTGGAATCTACTTGAATTGTCTTTTCAATGGCTTTAGGAGAAGCTGTCCCTACTTGAGATTTTCTTGATCTCGTAAGGCTTCTCTGCGGCATCTCAGCTTTAGTTGTGTCATTATGGGTGCTGATTGTTGACTCGTTTCCACTAATTGTTGACTTAAGCTTACTTGCGGAAGATGTTCTAGTGCCAGTTTCTACCTTGGAGCCCTGGAATTAGAAAGAGCATCAAATTATGAAAATATAGAGAAATAAGAAGGCAAGAACATTGTTCATGAACAGATTCCTGAAAGGTGATTGATAAGCAAAACATAACTGAAATGATACAACGAGCATTTGTGTTCCTAAAGGGAATATAAAGTGAATTCAACAATTTAATTTGTCTATTGTCAATGACAATTTGACAGTTCCTCAATTTTATTACGCTTTCCATGTCACTGAATGATCTTGAGTTGTCATTTGTAATTTTCGTAAAATATTTGCTTTTACTGAAATGTTACAATAACATATACAATTGTATATCCTTATAATCTACATGTTATCATAAATACACTGTACTGTATACAAATGTTTTTCTATTACTCCAACTATTGTACTTGTATTTATGCCATTAATTCTCTTGTAGATTTTTGTCACTTAATTATTAGTTTGGGAATTTCAAAACTTGCATCTTTATCAATGATCTACCTTATGTTCCTTAGATAGCCCCTTACCCCATAGGAGCCCCTACTTTTATATAGTCTTGATTCAAGAATGTGGAGCCCTATCTACTTCCTAAACACCACAGGTGTGTAGGAGCTAGGGGGGGGGGTGAGGAGGTGTCACAAGGGTTTGTAGGTCTGACTATGCAGATTCACCCCAATCATCACATATAATACAATCAATAACATTGTAACATTATCTCCAAGTGAATTCTATATGTATTGTCCCACACCACATTCAAGTAATTAATTAAGACAAGAATGACTGTCATGTAATTACTAAGTATAAGATGATAAATCAGCATGAATACACCTGAAAACCAAAGGTGTAAATGAGTCTACAGTGCATATAACAGTTAATACATTACAAACTAAACATCTGCTTTAGGCATTGTTTCGATGGAATTAGTACTTTTAATCTGAAATGACTTCATGAAGTAATCTGAAATTCTGTTATAACTTGCAGACGAGTAGTTCATTTGAGCTTAATAGGCTTTTGGGAGGGGGGGGGGGTGGCAGCATCTCAATCTGAATGTCTAGATTTGCATGAAATTGTGAAACTTTCTCCAAAATATCCAGATTTTTGTAGAATTCAATCAAGATTTTAGTAATTGATTTTAACCTATCAAAATTCTGGCCAGTACCCTGTTGAGGTATCCAGTGATATAAACTGATAATTAAATTACAGATCAACGATGTATTCAATAGTAAACCAGGCAATAGTTCAAAACTCTGCGGCCAAAAGTAATTTCCTGAAGATGTCTCAGTCAATCCTCTCAAAGAGTTGTATGCAGTTAATCATGGTGCCAAATGCTTTTCAAGATGGCTGAAAAATCAATAATGGAACCCACCACAATAAACTTCAATAAAGTGCGTTGTTGCTACATCTGTATATGACATGTGATTATTTATTAATACGAAAACTTCAAAACATAATGGGGAATATCAACATAATGGTTTATACTTAGTGCCATTTATGGTCAGATTTGGAAATTTTATTGAGGAAAATAAATTTAATTCAAATAGTAAGGCTAGCAAAATAACTGTATGTATTGTATCTTGTTTAACATTAGATCACTTATTACCGATAAGTATGTATGAAGCATTAAAAGTCATATTCTTCAAATTTATATATTCCGTAATTATAAATGTGATGATTATGAAAAAATGTTAGAACTCTGAAAAGAGATAATCCAGATTTTTACTGATTCTGAATTCATTTGAATACAAGAGAGAAATATTTACAAATAAACTTGAAAGGTTGTGCCAAGTAATAGAATTGTTTTACACAAAGCTGCCATCTGTCAAAGTGCATCTGAACTAATCGTGGCCAAAAGTATTGATCCGTACTTCAGAAAGTGAGTAAATTGAATTAACCCAGACCTGTTTGGCCTTCGCTAAAAGGGGTAATATTGGCTTGGTATCTAGCTAAAGTTAGACATAATAGGAAGATGCCTAAGTCATATTGATAAAGAATGCAATATATATACAGAGTTTATATATGCCTTGCATAATACATGCTCAATTGTGACACTGGGTTAGACTGTTATCTTATTATTACGCTGCATATAAATTGTTTCTAAGGTTATTTTTACACACTGTGTAATTTCCAGAGCATACTAACCAAAAAGCTCTTTCTGTGGATCATGATATACATGTAATACATAAATTATTCAAATGAAAAAAGATAATTATGTATCCAGTATAAATTGTATGTAACCTTGATAAGTTCTGTCAAGTTATAACATATAAGGTTTTTCCTATAAAATATAACTTTGTATAGGTAGAGACTTTAACAAATTATTTTAGTGTTAACAAAAGCTTAATTTGTTTACATTATTGTATTCACTCATATAAGAGAACAATACATCGAACTTACATCACAATATAATTTACCTGTTTTAAACTACTGTATTCACTCATATAATAGAACATACCCCCCCCCCCTTACATCATGATATGATTTACCTGTCTTGAACTGAGCTTCAACTTTGTTACTAATCATCTTATTTTTAGTACAAAGCACATGTTCATACACATGTTCTACCTCATAGTCATATACTAGTGTAATAATGTGTCCATATTAATAACAACTCCTAACAACCTTTGTCTTGTTAAATGGTGTCTTCATGTCTTCAACAGTCTATATATACCTTAAAGTGACTCAACTGAAGACAATCCACTTTTATGTTTATAAATAGTTTATTACCCAACTGATTTTTTGAGAACTAAACATTACAATTAATGTGACAATATCTGAGTCGAAGTCTTATGCGAAATAGTGAATTCCTTCCAAGAGATCTTTACCTTGGAAATATTAGCTTCTTTGCCTTGAATCTGACCACCAATCATACTTACAACTGATAGAATCATACACGATATATAGTATATTAACCTACTGATTTATGTTACAATATCCAAGTCAAAATCTAAGGCATAATAGTGAATTCCTTCAAGAAGGGAACTTTACCATACCTTTACTATGAAAATATCAAATTTTGCCTTGAATCCAATGACAAAACTTTTTTTTTCAAACATATTGACAACTGATATATCCAGTAAGTTGAGATGTATAAACCAGGGTAGACTGGAATTAACAAGGTGAAAAGATTTCTACTTTCAAGTAAAACCTTTTTTATAAATTTAAATTCTTTCGGCCCGAATACATGATACTTTAAGGCATCTTTGGGGAAGGTTACGCCTTCTGGTCCAACACATACACATTTTATGACCCAACCAACTAGATTATCTACTAATCATTTGTTAATTTCAACATCTTATTCTTTGCATTCATTTGACTTAACTTCTTAAAAGATGGCGTCATCTGAACTCTTTAATCAAAATCTCTGACCTTGCTGAACTTGTTATTACCACAGGGACGACCTTATATGGTCATTTCCTCTAACGTTATTGAAACATGTTTCTTTCTGCTCACTGATTGGCTAACATCAGTGCAGCGAGTTCAGTTGATTTATGAACTGGACTGGGATGGCCACTAGTGGTGGTGGCGGGTTGCTGAATGCTGTTTAACTGTATTCTATTCAGAGGTTGGTTTAAAACTAAACTCTACACTCAGGGTAACATTTAAAAAAAATCTTATGTGATATCTTGTGGTTTTGTATTCAATTTTTCACTCATTCTTAAACATTTAGTCTTACGTCGTTTCATCTCTCTTTAAACACGCATCACACTACCCTCTGTCTCTAGTATAGACTATATTAATGTTTAGCATCCTTGCCCCCATGACATGTGCCTGCGAGCAGCCCGGGTCATAAAACATTTCAAACCTACCACACTGACCTTTTCTCAACCAATCAGTGAGCTGGAAGGAACACATACTACTACTAGATATGTGCTTATACTACATGCGATGATGTCAGAGGGAATTAACATATAAGAAAGTCGTCCATATTTTGACGACAAGCTTTGATTGGCTCAGTGAGTTCAGAGATTTATTGTGAATTGAGAGTGAAGTTTCTTTAAACCATATTTACCTTGAAGTTCTTTGGCAAGACTGGGTCATTAGCCAGAATGGTGTCAATAGGGCCAGATCGTCTAGTACGCTTAGACACTGGTATAGCATCTTCAAACCGTAGCTTATTCCGCTTTGTCTGTGGAGTTCGCTTCTGGTTAGACTTCCCAGAGCTCATGTTGGCTGATCGGACTGAAACAAAACATAACTTATTAGGCTTCTATAGTATAACTTTAAAAAGTAGTATAATACAAGTTTAGAGTTATTCTAAAATCAATACCATATGAACCAAATATATTCTCTTCCGAGTAACCTAAAATACGATATATATCTACAAAAATACTCATATCGCACTAAATGTGATACAAATATAGATGTGATCGAATGCACAAAGTGTTCAAGTCACTTTTAGGGAAACCACAGGCTTTGTTCATTCCGGGGTCAACTCATTATTTCAACCAGAATACACTTTTCTAGTCTAGGAGGGAGAAAAGAATAATAAAGTTACTTTTTACTTACACATAAGAATGTTAATATCACCCATTGTAAGATCAATACTATACTTATCATTACTTATCATAAAAGTCCCATCAAAGTGAAAGTATACTTACGTCTCCTGGCTTACGTTACTTCAGCCATGTGTTATAACAGGCCAAATAGAAAATATGTCATTACTGATTATTTGTAACATCATTAGAAATGTCTATGTATTTGATCAGAACACAGATAAAGCCAATACTGAGCCATCTGTCGATACATTCATGGTTGCCAACAAAGTAAACTCAAACAAAATGGATCAATAATAAGGTCAATTTGTATGCAGGAAATACACGTCAACCAAGAAAATCTCAATATTCAGATTCAATCAAACGTGTTCTAGATGACATATATTCAAAAATATCAATGTATTTATACAACTCAATACAGTCATTTTAAGTTTGAGAACTTTGAATGAATTGAGAATCTCAGTCAACAAAGTTTTCAATGCTGAAAAATCCAATTCCTAAAAAAGCACTCTTCTTCCAGAGATTTCTATGTGAAAAACGCCTACTTTGGCTCCTCGCATCTTACCTAGCTTTTCTATGGTCCTCCGGGTTCCCCTCTTGACTACTTTTGGCTCATTTGAATATTTAAAAAGTCAGAAATTAGCGGCACAAAAACTTTTTGGACAAAGACTGCACAACTTTTCTATCCCATAATAATCGAAAAAGTTTTGTGCGCATGCGCAGATCAATTAAAACTTTGCGAGCAGGTGCTCTTCTTCGCACTTTTCGCCTATTAACAAGTGTTCGCACACTAGCGTCCCCTACAATTGACTCATTATGACAATATAAACAGCATCTTTCGATAGAATACACTAACATTTCCATTGTCGATGTAATAGAATCATATAACATATTGTTAAAATTTCGGGAGTGGGCTAAAAAGCACGCGTACTTTTGGGGATATTTTGGCGGGAAATTCAAAATTGTTTGAAACTTATCTGTTAATTTTCTACACCATCGGTACTGTATACTCAAAAGGAAATACTTGTTTTCACAATATTTTTCATACTTTAAGCCTGCCAGCATATTTTCAACATGATATTCTTTCATTATGATATAAATCATTATATTGAAGTGCCCCAATAAAGATGTCACTACTACTTCTATGTTCCAGTAGGCATATGGTGAAGTTTTTATGTTTACAGTCATACCCCAAGATACTTCTGACATTTATACTGACAAATTAACCCATTTTCTTCAAATGTAGAAAAAATTCATTTTTGCTTAGTATCTAAGTTTCTTCCAATCACTGGGTGGAAATGGAACTTTGTATATTAGTGTACCTGGTCCCCAGGCTTCGAGTTTTAACTGACGATGATCAGTTTTTTTGTACTTTTAACATAATTTTGCACAATTTGACACAATATAAAAAAGACCTATGCATTAGTTACCCATTTTGAATGAATTGGCCTACACCATCAAAAATTTACATCTTGAGGAATAAGAGGAAATGATTGTTAACTGTCTTTGAATGGATCATAGACAAATCTTCCTAGAGATCGCCCTACATGAGTGCCTTACTGAGATTTGGGGAAGTGATCCAGTTTGGATGTTCTAGGGCATGTAAGGTATGGAGCTTTATTAACAATTTTATACTTTTTAAGTTTTCAATAAACATACATGCTTAGTTTTATAAAAATGGAAATGGACAATTTTATACGTTTTAAGTTTTCAATAAACATACATGCTTAGTTTTATAAAAATGGAAATGGACATCCTGAACTTGTTGTTTTGATTTTCAAGCTGATAAGTGTCTGCGTTTTAAACAACAAAATTAACAAAAATCATATTTTCTTTACTTTCTATTGATTTTATTTCATACATTGGCATATATCTTATTTTCAAACTAAATACAAGTATTCTTTGTGCAAAATCTAGAAGAAATAATGGTTTACAATAAATACAGTACATGCATATACTTTTTCCATCCACAGTTAGATAATCAATATTCTTTGCATCAATATCTGAGACCATCATAAAAAGTTAGTCTCAGATCAATATACATACAACATGTATAGACATAACAGCACACCAGCAATAGTATGCACATACCAGAACAACGGCAACGCCAAAGCGTAGCGAATCCCATCGAACAGAAATGGCTGGCATTTTTACAAACGAATAGCAAATATCATAAAAGAACACACCAGAAAGGCCACCATTTTCAAAATGATTGCTCACTAGCCAAGTTGTCATCAGAAGAAATAATATGCTTTTAAGTAGCCACCTCTAAAATTTTTGAAAAATCGCACACATACTTGTAAAATAGCACACATAAAAATGGTGGCCATTTTTCAAAATGGCCAACTACGCCCCAAAGTTTTATTAGACAATGTGCCATGCTTAAAGTATTCACATATCAAATATGAACAAAATCGCTCCACTACTTTTCGAGTTATAGTAAAATACGTTGAAATAGCGGCCATTTTTCAAAATGGCCACTGTCTACCAAAAGTGTCATTAGAAATAGACAGTGTGCCTTGCTTATAGTATTCACATACCAAATATGAACAAAGTCACTCCACTACTTTTCGAGTTATAGTAAAATACATTAAAATGGCGGCCATTTTTCAAAATTTTTTTCAAAATGGCCGCCTTCTACCAAAAGTGTCTTTAGACAGTGTGCAATGCTTATAGTATTCACATACCAAATATGAACAAAATCGCTCCACTATTTTTTGAGTTATAGCAAAAATCGTAAAATGACGAGTAAAGGCCGCCATTTTTCAAGATGGCTGCCATGTGCTTCTTTAATATCTACATTTGAAGCATTATTAATGTCCTTTATAATTTTTTTACATTTAAAACATATTGCTATTACAGTTTTACATATTACACCTAAATTACTGTAAAATCGGCACTAAAATGGCCGCCATTTTGAAATGAGTGGCCATTTTGAAAATCGGCTTTCGAGCAGAACTTCTACCCCCATAGAGTATATGTGTACAAAATATGAACAAAATCGGGCCAACAGTATTTGAGTTATTGCCCGGACGGACGGACAGACGGACGGACGGACGGACGGACGTATGTACGGACGGACGGACGGACGGACGGAGGCGTTCCCTATATCCCTCCGAACTTCGTTCGATGGGATAATAAAAAGAGTGGCAATCTATTTGAAATTGTAAATTCAAAATTGATTTATGTTCTGATTTTGAGCCTACTAAAGAAAAATGAAAAAGATGAAGAATTACAAAGTGCATTCCTAAGCCATGGAAATTGAGAAATAAAAACTTAAAAAAGAAACCCAAAACTGAAATATTGCTTGATAGAGGTAACATGATTTAAAAGATTACATTCATGGGATATACCAAATAAATATCATGATTTACATTTCCTTCAAATCTCTTCATAAAGTAAGAAGTTAGAAACAGATGAAATGTTCATACACATGCACATGATGTAACCCTTGTGCTCATATGGAAAATACTGTAACTGCAATAATAATTCATATACAGGGCGGGCAAAGAAACAATACCCAAGTTTAAGGATGAATATCATAATTATGATATAACGCTACACCATGCAATGTATTATATATCATTTTAAAGATAAATCATTTCCTAACAATATGACACCATCTGATTGAAAACCTGCTGCTTTCTTGTGCAGTTAGAGCCTAAAATTGACACCAGGTGTGTCATATGGAAACAATTCAATATAAATACAATAAAATATTAATATAAATTAATAAAATACAAAATTATAGAGTATATTACAAGGTGCTTCATATAATAGGTATTTAAATATTTTACATTTTCTTTACGAGAATGACAGACTTATATGATGTTGTCTAGGCACAGTATTTAGAGTTGAGAGTATGTTTCGATTTTCAATATTTTTTACTCTCATCATTCCATGACATACCTGTTAAGGCTTAAGAAACGGTGCCCCCCTTTCAATGTTACTATATTTGTACATATTACAACATATTAAATCTTCAATAGGTTATCAATTATTTTTTTTACATAAAACAATTACACATATTATACCCTTCGTTCAACTTCACTTCTTAAAAGAGAGCTTCGTCTTCACTCTTTCAGTTAACAATAAATCTCTGAACTCACCAAGCCAATCAGAGTTCGTCATCGAAATACAGATTACTTTCTATATGGTCATTTCATAAGACATCACCGCATAGTTAATGAGCACGTATTTAGCACGCATTCCTTCCACTTCGCTGATTGGTTGAGAAAGGGTACGTCAATGTGATAGATTTGAAATGCTTTATTACCCACACAGGCACCAATCTTTGGGGTAGGGCTGCCAATTTTGTAATTTGTGAATTTAGAGTGCAGGTTAACTTTATGAAAAAAACAGAACAACGGCAACGCCAAAGCGTAGCGAATCCCATCGAACAGCCATGGATGGCATTTTTACAAACAAAGTATATAGCAAAAATGGCAGGCATTTTTCAAAATGGCCACCTTCTACCAAAAGTGTCATTAGACCATTTGCCACATACCAAATATGAACAAAATCGCTCCACTACTTTTCGAGTTATAGTAAAATATGTTAAAATGGCGGCCATTTTGAAAAATGGTGGCCATTTTGAAAAATGGTGGCCATTTTGAAAAATGGCCGCCTTCTACCAAAAGTGTCATTCGACAGTGTGCCATGCTTATAGTATTCACATACCAAATATGAACAAAATTGCTTCACTACTTTTCGAATTATTATAAAATACGTTAAAATGGTGGCCATTTTTCAAAATTTTTTTCAAAATGGCCACCTTCTACTAAAAGTGTCATAGGACAGTGTGTCATGCTTTTAGTATTCACATACCAAATATGAACAAAATCTTTCCACTGCTTTTCGAGTTATAGTAAAATACGTTAAAATGGTGGCCATTTTGAAAAATGACCCCTTCTACCAAAAGTGTCATTAGACAGTGTGCCATGCTTATAGTATTCACATGCCAAATATGAACAAAATCGCTTCACTACTTTTCGAGTTATAGCAAAATAGGTTAAAATGGCGGCCATTTTTCAAAATGGTGGCCATTTTTTAAAATGGCCGCCTTCTACCAAAAGTGTCTTTAGACAGTGTGCAATGTTTATAGTATTCACATACCAAATATAAACAAAATCGCTCCACTACTTTTCAAGTTACAGCAAAAATCGTAAAATAACGAGTAAAGGCCGCCATTTTTCAAGATGGCTGCCATGTGCTTCTTTAATATCTACATTTCTAGCTTTATTAATGTCCTATATAATTTTTTTACATCTAAAACATATTGCTATTACAGTTTTACATATTGCACCTAAATTACTGTAAATTCGGCACTAAAATGGCTGCCATTTTGAAATGAGCAGCCATTTTGAAAATCGGCTTTCGTGCAGAACTTCTACCTCCATAGGGTATATGTGTACAAAATATGAACAAAATTGGGCCAACGGTATTTGAGTTATTGCCCGGACGGACGGACGGACGTACGTACGGACGGACGGACGGACAGACGGACGGACGGACAGATGGATGGACGGAGGCGTTCCCTATATCCCTCCGAACTTCGTTCGATGGGATAATAACGAAAGTACATGTACACAAACTCATAGTACCCAGCTTCTTTGTTCAAGTTATGTGCATGGAATTTCCAATGAGTCTGATACAATGCCTCATTTCATTTCATTTCATTTCATTTATT